CTCACAACGACCAGCAGTATCAACAAGTCGTCAGGAGTCAGCCGAGACAAGTCAGAAGATCTATTTGGTGAGAACACCCTGCCAAGATGGACATAAGCAGCTGGCAACGACCCGTGGCGCTCGCTTGCGCACCCAGTGGTGCTCAGCATGTGAGCAAACGGATCCATGCAACACTTGCCGTGTTACGTGCCTACTCATCGGTGGCCAACCATGTTCAACCATGAACCCGACCCTTTTAATTTACTGTTGGAGCATTCCACGGGGACTGCCCAAGTGCTACCTGCAAGTATCAGCAAGCTGGATGAGAGGTTTGCCTACTGAGTCTCATGGCTGCCATGCATTACGCATGAAAGGGTAGGAATCAGACTGGGTGACACACTCCGCGTAGGCTTGGCTGTTTGGAATTGCTTGAAGTTCACTCACAGCCACGCATGTAACCACCACGGTCTTTTGAGCATTTCGGGTGTGGGGCACGTTCACGGTACACTCCCGGGCATGAAACCCGACCAGGCCTGACGCATGATCTTCCGCCCATGCAGATTTCCCCATCGGGGCCTTGCACGCAGGCTTGCTTAAGGCTCGTGGACAGCCCAAGGCTTCGGAGCAATGCCAAGTTGGAGCTAAAGAAGTTCGTCGTTGAGGGAAGCATTCTGGCTGCAGAGAAGCTCTAGCAGATGCGAACATCATGGTGTGCCTCAGTGCTCTCGCATCAGCATGTTGTACAAGCTCAGGCATACTGGCGCACCTGAGCAACTTGAATAAACAGCAGATTCCGCCTCCAGCGACGGGTTCCCATGACGGCTGCGGCCAAGACCACCACGGAGGCTTTTGTTGCGAAGTTGGCCTGACTCGGGATTGGTAACAGAACGCAGGTTGGTGCACGTCACTGGCTGTTAGATTTAAAGGAGTTGGCCATGAGACGCTAGGTGGCTGGCTCCGACCAGATCAGGACACGATCGGCAATCCTACTGTTTTGTAAACCCGGCGATGATGGCACATGCGGACATGTAAGAAAGGATTCTGTGTTACGCGAACTGGCGTGCCTGCGGTGCGACACCCACGGAGGTGCTGGTACCAAGGGCTGTGAGAGGCGGCGGGGCAGTCCTGAAACTGTATTCTGCGAAAAACATTCAGGGGGCACGTCCGGCACAGGTACAAGTTCCCTTGGAGCAAGGAGTCAATGCTCAAGGCGAGGAGCTTCGTTAAAGAATGCATCCAAGTCGGGAGTTCTCTAAATCAGGGTCCCATTTAGGATCCTGTTTATGCCTACTATGTTCGAGACCCAAAACGGGATCCTAGTTTCGAAAACTACCCAAGTCTTGTTCAGCTTCGAATGTTTCGTGTTTAAAGTTTAGATGGGTTCTTGACCCAGTGTCCCAGGCCTAGATCAAAGTCTAGACGTAAAATTCTGTTGGGCTAAGGTCCACCTAGTTGGCCTACAAGGCAGATGCTGAATCCTGGCGCCTCAAAATGTCTGGTATGCTTGACACCCCAACCGCCTTGACTCCCTCAGATTCCCTGACCAATGCCATCATGTCGCCGTGGTGGCTGCTCCGGTGTCAAAAATGCCAGGTCAGCCGTGGAACCTGGAGTGATATTCGTCTTTTGACTATGAGCTTGATTCAGAGCATGTCGAGATAGGCGGGTCTTCAAACTTACTTCATGGGTGCCTGCGCCCCACCAGCCGGCCCACATGTAAGCAACTTAGATGCAGAATTAGACTGTTTTGCAGCTTCAAAGGATCCTGCTCTGTGCTCCCCTCAATCCCACCCGGATGTCTGCAGGGAGGCTGACTTTGGCCTTGAACCCTGCAATGAGATGTCAGGCTCGAACAAGCTTGAAGAACATCGTCAGAAACGTAAATCGTTGTCAGGGCTCCGGCCTGCCATTGTGTCCCGGTCAACGACGTTCCCAGGAAGGCTTGACGCAAAGTTTCTACGATGCAGGACTGCTCAGATATTTGCCAAGCACATCTAGCAGGCGTTAACATCACACGCTACTTTACAACGTATGCCAGTTCATAGGGCCTGACTACTCATGCTGTTGAGCCAGATATGCCGAGCATGCCTTCTGGACGCCCAGGTGACCCAGTGTCGCTCAAGCTTTTGCAAACGGTGGTCTTGGTGGAACCTGCTAGAACGAGATAACAGCCAGCATCCTCAGTGGCTATCCAACAAGGCACCCCAATTCCGAAATACCGGCTCTCTAGTTACCGCAAAACCCGACAGCTTGGTTTGGTCCTGGTAGCCATGCTTGAAGTCGCCTCAAGCTTGAGCGCTCTTTCGAATGGACTTCTGTGGAGTCGTGACCATCGGATGAGTGTTTAAACGACTGGGCTCGACTAAGCTCGGCTTGAGCCTCAGTCCTCACAGCCCCCCAAAGCCTTTCGCCTGCAAACTGTTAGGCTGCGGACAAATGCGCAAAACAAGGAGGAACAATTCAGAAAAGCACTCAACTCAAGAGAAGAAATTCGATGCACAGGAAGGACAAATTCAGGAAACTTTGCCGGGATTTCTCGGCCGGGAAACAAGACAAGTCCTGAGGCTGAACCTCAAGCCTGACCCGAAGGCCTTCAAGTAAAAGCCAGAAAGGTTTAACTCCACTACAAATAAATCAAATGAACTTTAGGCCCAACAGCCGTAAACCCTAAACCCTGAATACTAAGCCTTCTGATTTGGCCCCTTGCGTTGTCCGACTTGGCTTCTGAATCCACAGGCTGGTCTTCTGAATGGGCCCACCCTTTTCTCGGAATCAGTGTTCCTAAAATCTCCGCTTCGGAATTACGGACAGATTGCTGGAACCCTGTAGGTCCACAAAGCGGAACAGCTGCGGAATCTTTCGCTCTGGCTCAAGAGGCTGTCGGTGGCGTTCCAGCTTGATGACGGTACTGGGTACACTGTGCCATGAAGCCACTGCCTGCTTCCCGCTCAGATCTTGATGATCTGCTGGTCCTGGAGCTCGGAGACATGCTGTGCACCTGCCAGGCAAGGAAACATGGCAACCTGGGCGAAATCATTCAGCAGCATGACCACCGGTTTTGATGTCGGCTGATTCGTAGGGTCATGGGGCCTCGGCCTTGCCTTTGTGAGGTTCAACAGCCTCAGAGGGAAGTGGCAGTCCGTCCGCGAGCAGGCAAGCCTGCAATGCCAAAGACCGGCTACGTCTTAGTCAACCCAACCTGTGAGGCAAAACAACTGAACGCCTTACCTTTTTCCGGCTGCAGCGAAATCTTCACGGAATTACACGGCGACAGCAACCAGGCATGTGTGGGCGATTTCCCGGCCCGGAGTCTTCTGAGCATGCGTTGAGTAATGCATGAGGATCGCTCGTCGCCTCCGCCTGTCTCATCACCCTTGACACCCTTGAATGAAAGCTCCCACGCCGAGGCAATCACCCACACTTTCGCATCTGAGCACACACTCTGTCGAAGTGCCAAGCTGCGAGGCTCGTGCCAAAACAGAACCTTCGAATCAAAGAAGAAGAAAATACTTCTGCATCGAAAGGCTGTGGCTTTCTGTATCTTTCCTTGCCTCTGCGCACTCGACCCTTTCTTCCGAAACGGCCGATGCTGTGGCGGAGTAGCACTTAGAAACTCGGGTGTCGAAGAAGCTCTGCTAACAGACATTGGCCAAGTCTGTTGAGGAGTTGTTAAGATAATGACCATTATTATTGCGACTATGACTGTAATGATTATATATGATTCTGCTGTTTGTTGACAATCTTATGTTCTTGTTATTCACGTCATTATGATGGTCCTCTACAGGTGCAGATTCTGGGCCTTGACCCCTGGTCCCAGAATGCCAGCGCCTCCTAGAAGCAGTGCCAAATTCAGAAGATTGTTGAAATGAAAGAGACTCGCAACAGTGTGAGCACGGACTTGGTCTGTTCCGACTTCCCACTGGTTCCTCTCGTTCTGTCTTATCGTATCTCTTAGTTTGGGAGGGTCGGAGCCTCGGCTGCTTCTCCAGAAGCCGAAGCTTTCACAACCTGTCTCGGCCCACTGGAAATGGTCTCTCTCCACGGGGATTAAAATGAAGACGTCTCATGTCACATGAAAGTCTCCGGTAAATGCAGCCGGCACTTCACCTGGCTGGAAAGGACCCATCCGTGGTGGCGCCCGACTGCATAGGCTCCTCAGTGACCCTGAGATGCTCGGTTAGAGAAGGTGTCATTTGTGAAAGCACTGGCGGGAGTTTGCAGGTAGCAGCCCGCAAACCTTCGTGCGCCATGTGCATCTCCGAGCTATGCTGAGGGACCAGTTCCGACAAGCTGCTCAGCAGCATCATGCATCAGACTTTTAAACGGGAAAAGACAGAATATTCCGGGAGCTAAATCCAAATAAACTTGTGATTCTGCCCCGGACAATGCGAATGCCATTCCCTGAAAAGCCGCAGTGATTGCGGCTCCTCTGGCACTCGAGGAAGGTCGGGCCCGTGCAGCAGGCGGTCTCCACAAGGCATCCACTTGTCTGACATCGCTGGTACATGCTAGCGACGCGTCGGGCTAGTTGCTGGTAGTGCTGCCCTACCATGTACCTTATGATGCGGTGGGAACCTGCACTTTGGCCGGCTAGAGAATCTTGAATGGATTCAATGCTGGCCCAGGCAAGCTATAAAGTCTTGAAAAGAAAACATACACGGGAAGATAGGCAGCAACTGCCATTTTGTCTGAGGTGCGCTGATGATACAAAAACCCCAATTCGACAGCCCCGAGCTTAATTACGTTAACTGTCTGTTTCCCGTGCCTTATGACAGATGATCCAACCCTTGCTGAGGATCCTCCCATGCAATGCCGTCAAGCAAGCTCAAAGCTCGTGTGACATTGGGCCGCAAAAGCGTCAACAGCTGCACGGCATGCATGGTATCTGGCAACAAGCGGGGTTTACGAGCTTCGGCTGAAAGGACAGGCCATACTTAAACTCGGTGAAACTTGAAACGACTAGTCGCTTGAAATCCGAAGGGCGACTTTACGAATCTACGAGTGCTCATTCTTCTGGCCTCTCATGGCACCGCTGCCGTCCAGTGGGCGAAGGACGCGCGTCTTGCCGCTACCACAGTCTGGAACTCCCTTGGGTGACTCTCAACGTCCTCGAGGTACTCGTTTAGCTTCTTGACCTTGGTTCTGTGAACGATGAAATGCTATGAACAACCCCACTTTCTGAGTAGACAGCCGGTTCGGATCTGACTGCAAAACAAAGTCACATAGAGTTCGTGCGTTCCAAAGTCCGGTGCCTGAACAGCTCGCGGCAAAGGAAGGACCTTTGATGATGTCAATGTTCCTCGAGCAGCCAGGACTGGGTCCACGGTAGAGCTGGATGTGCATCCCATAGCTTGAGAAGCGCACAATGTGCAAAGAAAATCACTCGACTTGATCCATAAACTGGCAGAGAAGCCTCAGCAGTCAGATGTTGTTCTACTTGTTCTTAGGGTCCACCTTTGCCTTGGCACTTACTTCGGCTGAGCAGGTGACGCACCACGGACAAGGCCCTGTGGTTCTGCATAGGCTACATACCGATGTCCTTATATTTCCATCAATACGTGAAACGTCTCCACAGCCGAATCTGTTCCAGCTTGCTGCACACCCTTGGAGGAACACATTCGTATTGAAACGGGGGCCATTTCGGGTGAATTGCTCACCCCCCGAGGTCACACTATGCAAGCTCGAACCCTGTGGGATGTCCACTGGTACCATAGACCAGGCAGAGGCAGAGCGTTGAAGATAGGAGGGGCTTCTTGACAGTCTCGTTTTTGTGGCGCTCGCAGCCTGTGTGCCCCTGATCCATTTAAGCCCGTTCCTTGCCGGCCGGTTCAAGGTACCCCTCCTCGACAGAATCGAAGAGAAGTCGGCCTCTGCCCCACCCCAATCAAGGGTTCCTGGTGCCACGGCCGACAGAACTAAAACGGAATTTCTGCGTTGAAACCACTCAGCCACAGAGCATGCCTTCCTGAAACTAGCCGCTGCGAGCCTCCCCGGTGACGCGTCTGTGGGCCTCGACTCTCAGCCACTCTCAGTCAGTGCCGCAACAGAACCGACGAGACTTCGAGTGACAGACCACGATTTCTCGCTGAGTTGGTCGCGCGAAGCCGAGAAGATCGAAGACCCGGGCTGGGCAGAGTGAACACCTTCCACACGCGAGCCGCAGATAAAGCATCGAATAATCTCAAGATTCTCTCTGATTAGTCAGCGAGCATGCTTCTGATGCTCCTAGCGATTGATGAGGACCCTGCAACCTCCACCTGCACCCGGGCAAGCTTTTCACTGGTACTGCTGTTGGCAGGTCGGAGTAGAGACCTCTTGTCTCTGGAAGGTACATTTGCTCACTTCTGCACCTCAGAACGCAAATCATCCGAAAGCAGCCTGGTGGCCTCTTCGCTAGGTTTTGCAAAGCCACCATTCAAAGATTGCTCGAAGCCCCCCAGGACACAGTTCAAGCGAAATCTCTTCCGTCCCAGAGAAACGTCCCGGATGGGCTTGATATTGAGCCCCGACTTGCCTAGATCGAGCGAGGATGGCACCAGCAAAGTTTGACATGCGAGAATGGCATGGCTTCAAGCTTACATGAAGCGTACATATTATTGTTCCTTCACATGCCCCTGCGCAAGTTGACTCTCCGCTGCCTAGCCTGTACCAGAGGCTGCCAGCACCAGAGGGACCAAAGGAAAAGGTCATGATCATGAAATCATGAAACGTCTCTGCAAGCCAGGGAACTGCGTCAGTGCTTCGGCAAAGGGGCCGAATTTCCCCCACTGAAGAGCGGCAACCGAACTGCGGGTGCGCTGAGGGTCCTTGGCTTGATGTGGAGTAACCAGAAAAATGCCAGAGCGCAATCGACTCATTGAAAAAGTCTACGAACAGATCCCGCGATGCGATACCAGCCGAGAGTCCACACTTTCGGGGGAGCCGCCGCAGACTGCGTATAGCGCCATCCTAGCAAGAACACCATCCTCACACGAACTCGGACCTTGCAGAAACTCGACTTTTCCTTGAAAGCTGCTGGTTCCGTTGTGTGTTCCAGTTGGACACAGTTGATGAAGAAGCCTCGTTCCTACTGCAGGTCTAAACAAGCGGTTGTCGATCAGACTCCAACACCGGCTGCTTGCTCTTGCCTCTTTAGGTCTCAGATTTCGTCGGGCGCAAACAGTACACACAAAACAGAAATGGTACCAGAAAACATCCAATCGATCGTCAGATTCACGTGCTTGTGCATACAGACTTTGTGGCTGCGAGTTGAGTTTCGCACGAAAGGCTGGAATGTCGTCCAAGTGGCCATCCGAGGTTGACGTCCATGCCTGGATGAATAGCATGGCACTCAAACCACGGTGTTCCTGCTCTGGCGTACTTTTGCCAGCGCCACAAGGCCGTAATTTCCTCCTGTTCACCCGGCCTTCGGCGGCGCCGGGACAGGAGCCATCAAAGTCTTCGGTGGGATCGAGCCGGCCGGCCTTTGTGAGCTCGAAACGATTGAACCCATACTCTTCCTATTTCTCGTGCTTGCAACGAAGCAGAAACAGTCGCACTTGTCGCTGCCAAGAGGCGCTACAGACGCGCTTTCGACGCGGGCCTCAACACGAAGCGCAGTTTCTGCAGCGAAAGATGCCTGGTGTTCCCCGCAAACACTTAGGGCGTCGGCCAGCTCTGCGGCGCCATTGCCTGGACAGACTGTGCAAGCTCATGTCTTCGAGCGATAGTAAGCTGCGCCTCTGACAACACCGACTCTTCTCTTTGTACACGTAGGTTGCAGTTCAGGCGACACGAAATAGGGTCAACGAAATAGGGTCCATGCACTCGAGGGCCGCAAAAGGTGGAGGGGAACGCCAAGTCTAACGCTGCCAGACTGCTGGCAGTAGCATGGCGGCTGCCCTCGGCGTCACTGGATTGCACCTGCAGAGTCACATGCACGTCGCTACGGACTTCAAGCATTCGGATGCTCTTGGAACCTTGGTGAGACACAGGGCGCAAGCGCTGCAGGCGCCTGCTCTGCGGCTGAGGCCCTGACCTGGGCCTTGACAGAGTTCGGTGTGGTCGGCTGCGTCGGATTGGGGGTCCGAATCTCCTGAATCAAAGGGCACTACAACATGCAGGGAAGACGTCTTGTCCAGTCCTTGACAGAATCCTTCATCTCGCTCTGAATCTGGTGGATGGCACTGTCCGCACTTTCTCGCCATTCCTGCTGTCCGCTGGAACTCTGGTTCTTGCTTGCAGCCTTCTGCCGTGCTAATAATCGCGGATGGTTGCTGAATCACTGTCTCATAGAGAATAGAGGTATAGCTCTAGCAGGATATGGAGCCGAAAGGCCAGCTGGAAGTCAGCTTAGATGGAACTGGCCCGCCGCATCCCGCCCCGCCGCACGCAGAACAAAATCCGCGAAGCAACTCTTTGCATTTGCGAATCACCGGGGCCCACATTTTCTAACCCCCATCCTGTATTTCTGACCCCTTCATTTTTTTTTGACCCCCACTCCTTCTTTGCCGACCCCTGCATGCGCAGGCGCCCAGCAGCAACATTTTTTCTGACCCCCAACCCTGTTTTTCGACCCCCCCGTATCCCTTTTCGACCTTTTTTTCCTACCCTGTTTTGGCCTGCTCAACTTACCCCTCCCTCTCCGTCCGTCTAGCCCAGCCAAATTAAGGGTCCAGGCCCAGGCCAAGCGCCCAGCAATGGCCCAGACCAGCCCAAGCCCAGCCTCAGCCAGTGGCCCAGCGCACGCTTTTTGTCTCGGCCCCACTCAGCCCCACACTCGGCCCCACTCAGTCCCACTTCGCACTCCGCGCTTCTCTACCCCCTACTCAACCCTAACCGGCCCCACTCAACCCCACCCGGCCCCACTCGGCCCACTCAGTCCCACTTCCCCAACCCCTCCTCAACCCTACCCGGCCCCACTCAACCCTACCCGGCCCTCTCACTTTCTCTTTCGCTTGTGGCCAAACTTTCTCTCTAACTGTCGTTCTTCTCTTCTGTCTCTCTCGTTCTCTTTCTCTGTCTTTCTCCCTCTGCCTTTCTCCTGCCTGATTATCTCTCGCTGGCTCATGCTCTCCTCTTGCGTCCTTCTCCACCCGTCTCTGTTTCCCTCCGTCCCTGTCTGTCCCTCGTTCTGCTTGCTCTCTGTCTCTCGTTCGGTTTGGGTTTTTTCTCGACCCCGTCGGGCTTTTGTTCTTGGACGTGTGCGGCCTTATGGGCGGCCGCCTGGCAGCCGTCTGTTCCAGTAAATTTAGGCTCCTGTCAAGCCTTGTCTGGACATCACTATCCGAGGGCGTTTTGGGGGCCGTGACTGCAGTCGGCCGGGATATTCCCTGTGATTGACTCACCGGGAAGTTTTTCAACTTCATGTACAGCTCTTATCCAATCCCCAACAGCTGTTTTCAACCTCGAAAAGCCCTGTTTGGACCCGCCTCCTTTCATATTGAACCCCAGCCCTCTTCAATGTGACCTGCACTTGTTTCTCTCTCACTCCCGCTCTCTCTCCCTCTTCTTACAATCTATCTCTCTCTCTCCCCTCTCCTCTCCTCGCCCCTCCTCCCTTCTCCTCTCCCTATCTCTCCCCTCTCCTCTCCCCTCTCCTCTCCCCTCTCCCTTCTCCTCTCTTCTCTCCTCTCCTCTCTCCTCTCCTCTCTCCTCCCTCATCCCCTGCAGTCTGAGAGCCGTCCCCTTGAGGACCAACTCGTCCACCCTCCAGAAGCCTGGCTTGGCCACGTCTTCTTTCGAGTCAGCACGAAGGCAGGAGGTACTTCCGCCGGCAAGATTACACTTGGTTTTCACCAACAGCATCCTCCCGCCGGCAGAAGTAGCACCTACCGTACTCCTCCTTTGCCTTCCGGCGCACCTTCACGCCGCAGTTAGGGTAACCCTACCCAATTGCTCTTGCTCTCCGCCTTAGGCGTTGTGGGTGGGTGCCAAACCGTGACACCGAATTTGACAAGGAGCCGGTGCGATGGCCTGGCTCGGTGGCTCGGCTCTGCTGGCAGCCAACTCGGCCTACGTGTTCACACACCGTTTACCTGTAGGTTCGGCGGGTCGAGGTCCAGCACCTCCGTTGTCCTTGTTTGCATGACTGAGGTCTGCCAGCTACTTGTAAGCTAGGCTTGCACGAGTTCGTGGTGCGGGTGAGGTGCACTGCCGGCTTCGACCTTGGCTGTGGTTGTGGTTGAACACTTTCCCATGGTCGGCATTATGTCTGAGGCTCCAACACTCTTGTCGCGCGAGCCTCCTCGCAGCGAGTTCTCAAGATTGTCTGCACTAACGTGGCAGGCCTCCTGCTTGTTCTGTGGCCTGAGACGACAGAGATTCAGGTCTTTGCCAACATGAGGTGCGCACAAGTGTAAGGCTGCTGCGGGTTCTTCGGCTGCTCCTGCGCCCTTGCACACCGAGATTATTACATAAACTGACTTGAAATGCTGGTTGCTTGCAAGTTGACCTCCACGGTCTTCGCTTCCTCCCCGCCGTGCCTAGCTTTTACATGGCACCATGTGTCAAGTTTTTCTCATTTGCGACAGTACTTGAGGCGAGTTGCCCACCCTGCTCTTGCAGTTTCTGCGCCTTGCGCTGGCTGCCCGCTTTATGGGCGGAGCCTTAAACAGCAGGATGCAATGAAACGTCCGTGTGAAGACACAGGGGTGGTCAGCTGAGAATGCAGCCACGCTTCACGCCACTGCCCATGACGCTCTCAAGCTCTAGGGCTGACTAAAGGATGGTAGTTTAAGCTTGCGTGCTATCGACGGAAGGGAACAAAAAGGAAGGGGGTCAGGCTAAAATCAAAATAAGCGACATTAAGCGACATCCCGCCAACGGTCAAGTGGTATTGGAAGGGTGCTGGAAGGCCAGACGAAAAGGAAGATGGTCAGGAAAGAGGGTCGAGATCCGGATAAGGTCGAACAAACACGTTCAGGGGTCAGAAAAGCAGGTGTAGGGGTCAGCCAAGCAGGTTCAGGGGTCAGAAAAACAAGTTCAGGGGTCAGCAAAACAGGTTCAGGGGTCCGAGGATCGGGGGTCAGAAAAAAAGGGGGGTCAGAAAAAAACAGATTTGCGGTTAAAGAAAGGCTGCGCGAATCACAGTAGGCACCTCTCACCTTCGGTGCTACGCTGCCTCTGGATGGGATAGTATGTCGCTATGCTGCCTTGCCGTGCCTCCATGACAGTCACACGAGGTTCAAGCAACCTTCGCGGCAGATACGTGATTGCCCTCTGATAGGCTGGTTGCGATCCAGTTAGGTGAGAGCGCTTTGGAGCAAAGCTGTTTCGACTGCACCGATATCCCAAGACTCCTAACTGAATTCTGGCAGCTGCTACGGGATCTTAGAGATCCAGACGGGTGGCTCATGCAAGGAGGAGATGCGCCGGGAGAGGTCACTGGTCTCATCCAGATTTCCTTGGTAGTCTGCGAACGCATGCCATGAGAACCTGGATGAGCAAGGAAAGAGACGGGAGCGCAAGAGACGTGATCAGAGCCAGAACTGTCAGCCCGTGCACGCATGTCAGCAACAGACGGTCAAGCTCGCTGACGCTCGGCAAAGCCCCGATGCACATGGATGTGGATCAGCTCGAGACCAAAACTAAGACAGTTGCAAGGTTCGACCATGTCGAAGCTGCAAGACACATACCAGTCATACCAGGCCCAGGCTGTGCACGCCACAGAAATACTATAACGCCGGAAGGACAGAGTTTAGTGACAACTTCCTGCGCGGGTACCTGACGCCGCGCAGACCCACTGTGGCCAGCATCGAACCTTCTTACGGCCTTCGGCATCTGCGAATATCCTGTGCAATCCTCCTCTGGCGACGCCAGTGTTCGGCCGAGCATCGACGATAACCCTCAACTCTCTCAATGATCCCCTTCTGCTGCGTCTCCATCTCAACCTGGCATCGGCAGAAGTTCTCTATACTCTCATGAGGTTGGCAACGGTGCTGCTACGCTTCTGCCTGTGTTTGTGAGAGGTGATCCATGACGGCATCCATTTTGGAGATCAAGTCCATGTTCACCTTCTCAAGCAGGCCTTGGCTTTGCACTGCAAATCCAGTCAGCTGGAGCGACTCGTGCGACCTTGCTTCCGAGGCTCCTTCCTCGAGCTTCTTCTCGACGCTTTCACGAATGGTCTCAGCTTTCCTGATGCTATCGGAACACATCGTTTGACATGCAGATGCAAACTTGGAAAGGCTTTCCCTGCGGCTGAGCTGTTGCAACTGTTGCGAAAAATCCCCCAAAAGTGAACCCAGGACCCAGCAGCTTCGTTACGGCAGGGACTATGTCAGAAAGAAAGAGCCAGGCAGCGCAATCTGCGGCACAAGCGGCAAAAGCCGCCAATCAGGTTTGGCCATGGCCGAGCTTAGAGCTTAGGTCAGAAAGATCCAGTATAACTTGGCAGCACGGTCTTTTACAAGTACCGCGCAGACTAGGTGACACAAGGCCACCAACACCGGCAGTGCGATTTGTTGTTGCTAGAAACTCCACACCGAAGTCTGCGCTCATGGACTGTCTACAGGATTCTTAATCCCTGTCCCTTGTCCATGCAAGACCCGTTTCGGAAGCTGGCCCAGCATTTCGTGGCCAGGCGTCTGCGAGGATTTCTCCTCCGCGAGCAGAGCTCTGGACTCCAGAAGCTGGCGAAGAGAGGAAGCTTCCTTCTCCACGGCCTGCCCAGGCAGGAGCCTACAGGTGAGTCAAAGATTCCACGAAACCGTGGAGCATCGGGGTCCAAAGAGACCCAGCCTTCAACCTTCGACACTATGCGGCCAGCCTCGGAAATTTTCTTGTCCACGGCCTCTAACTGGGAATCCTGGCAGACTGTGCATCTTCGAAACCAGCGCGATGAGTCTGTGCAGCAAGCGAAGGCTGCAGACGCCGAAGCTCCTGCAGCTGTTTGAGCAGCTCGCTCTGGCTTTGCACCCCGGTCCTGGGATGATCAACTGGAGATCCAAAGAGTGACTTGGGCTCTTGATCTGGGTTGCTCGGAAATCGGCTTCCAAGCGGCAGCTGCTTTAGCGCATCGACTTCGGATCGGAGTTCCATTTGGCTGCCCTCTTTGTCGATGACCACCTCCAGAGAAGCTGAAGGCTCCGGTGTTTTCTTCCAGCCCGGATGATCTTGATTGGATACCGCAATGCATGTCAATGCCGAAAGAACAGTCGCCAAAGACCCTACAGATCAGGCACGGTCCACCTCGGCAAGCTCGACTTTCGTAGCCTCTAGGTCCTCTGTCTGTGTCTGCATTTCTATAGCTTTGTCTTGGTCTTCGTCTTGTGTGTGTGTCTGTGTGTCTGTGTGTCTGTGTGTCTGTGTGTCTGTGTGTCCGTGTGTCCGTGTGTCCGTGTGTCCGTGTGTCCGTGTGTCCGTGTGTCTGTGTGTCTGTGTGTCTGTGTGTCTGTGTGTCTCTGTGTCTCTGTGTCTCTGTGTCTCTGTGTCTCTGTGTCTCTGTG